TGTTAAGGATTTTTACATCTATATTCATCAGGGATATTGGCTTGTAATTTTCTTTTTTGGTGGTATTTTTGTCTGGCTGTTCAGTCAGCCCTGAGTTCCTCAGGAGGAATTTCTCTGTATATAGATAAAGATTCAGCATGTCCATGGGAGGAGGTGAGTTCATGGTCATCCTACACTACCCATTATCTTAGTTCCTAACACAAACTAGATGGATGCTGAGTGAATGCTGCTGGATGAGCAAATGAGTGGGGATGAACTAGATCCTCCTTATCATTTTTCATTGTTTCTTCATTATGCTAGTGCAGGTTAACTGGTTTCCTTTTTCCTCTCCTCCTTCCTTTCTCTTTTAACCATCCCTCTATATCTGACTTAGGAAATACAGCTCTGTTCTGGTCAAAAACTTTTAGTGATTTACCATTTCCTGCAGAATCCATTTCATGCTCAATGTCATTCAAACCCTGTAAGCAGTGAATCTTCAATCAGCCTACCCAGCAGCATTTCTTGTTTCCATTTGCCCACCTCCAGACTCCAAACCTACGTCCTATCCATTCTGTCGTCACAGTCTGTAGCATGCCATCTCTGTGGTTTTGTTTATGCCTTACATTCATCCAGGCATTTCTTCCCCAGTCCCTGCCTACTGAAATGGCAGTCAAAACATCACCTATCCCAATCAAAATTAATCCTACATTCTGTATCTTTCTATACTACTGTAATTTTTTTCCTCCATGTGGTATATATTACATTCTGCTTTGTATAGTTATTTCATTTTTGCATATGTGTATTCTTTTTTTTTAAGTTTATTTATTTATTTAGAGAAAGCGAGGGGGGGAGAGAGAGAGAGAGAGAGAAGGAGAACACAAGCAGGAAAGGGACAGAGAGGGAGGGAGAGGGAAAGCAAATCCCAGGCAGGCCCTGCACCATCAGTGGGAGGAGCCCAATGTGGGGCTCGAACTCACAAACCGTGAGATCATGACCTGAGCTGAAATCAAGAGTTGGACACTCAACCTGTTGAGCCACCCAAGTACCACCTGCATCTGTATATTCTAATAGATTATAGACTCCTTCAGTTAAAGGTGAATCATTTCAGCCTTGAAAGCCACAGGCATACTAGCTTGGTGCTATTTAGTCAGTGTGGAAAAAACATGGGCTTTGACTTAGGCGGACTTTCGTTTGAATCTTTATTATGCCACAAAAAGCTATGAGATCTCTTTCATTTTTTCCCACTTTTCTAACTTGTAAAAGGAAGATAATAATACCAAATTTGCAACATTATTATGCAGATTAAATGAAATAATATATGTAAAGTATATAGCTTAATGCAATGGCCCATGGCAGAAATGCAATAAATGGTTATTATTATTGTTGCCATTACTGGTACTATAGTAGGAAGTTACTTTTGGAGAAAGATTTTGTTTTGTTTGCCTGGGCTCTTAGTATTAATGGTTTTCATTTAATTGCGTGGCTAATTTCTGGCTGAATATAACTGAAGCTAGAAATTACCCATTAGCCTTGCTGTTAAATATAAATCTTTCCTTTTTTTCCCCCACTATCTTACAATCTTGTATTACTTATTCTGGTATTACAACATTTTCCTGGCAAAAAGGATTGCTTGCTTCTTAAATTTTTCCACTAAAAGAGGACCAAATCGCTTCCAGGATTTGTGAAAACAATTATTTAAGCTTTAATCCTTTTTAATTCCATCTTTTCTGTGGTATTTTATAGTAGAGAAAATGAATTGAATTTCCTACTTTTCGAGTTATTGAAACCTGCTGTGTGGCTAGAGAGGCTTCTTTGGCCTGCCAGGTTCTAACACCTTACCCTCCCACCTCAGTTAACTTTCATTGACTGTATATGTTCAAAGCCTGGATGGCACCCTCTGAATCCATAGGTCCTTATACCAAGAATGGTATTTAAGTCCCTGCTAAATTGAAGTCAACTAAGAAAAAGGGTATATTGGGCTTTTGTAAATTATTAGGAAAGATATAGTCCAGCTCCTTCTCCATTTGAAGTAGATATTTTGTGCTTATTATCAATTAGAGTTTCCTAGAATTGAAATTATGGGAAGATGATTCAGTGTGGGGAAATACCTAATGTCTTTTTTCTCCTTTTCCAACTAAAATAATGATGAAATCATCAAAGAAAGAAAAATTACTCATATTTGGCTACAAAAAAAGATAAGAATTGGTCATATATATTTAAAGCATATGTATCATCTTCCTAACTGGTGAGAAGAGATTGAGAACTAGCACTAGAAGTTAACCTAAGACCTAGACCCTGGCAGAGGAATACAGTACTTCCAGAAATCAAAATACTGGAATAGGAGAGGGAATCAACTTGAGTTTCACCAGTTAATGATGATGGTGCTGATGGTGGTGGTCATCGCGGCGGTGGTAATGGTGGTGATGGTAATACATAACATTTAGTAGGCAAATTGTGAGGCACTGTTTAAGTCAACTAGTGTTCATTATTTCATGCATCTAAAACCCTTATGTGATAGGTATTTTTTCATATCTATTTTATAGCTGAAGAAACTAGGGCTTCAATAGCTAGTCCTACCAAGGTCACATAACTTTTAAAGATGGAAGTGGAACTTAAACTGAAGTTGGTTTAACCTTTCATAAGTCTTTGTAATCCTAGTTCTGTGCTGATAAGCCTACAAATGTTCCTGTAGGTGAGAGTGAGGTGAGAGAACAGGACAGGACGTCTCTAGTAGCTCTGTCACAGCAGAAGCACCAACCAGGCAGGCCACCACTTCCTGGGCTTTTATGAGGGGGAGTTACAGATTGACAAAGGGAAAACTATGTTGTAAACCCCTTATGGCAGGGACATCATGTTAAACTGTTATGAAGGGGAGAAAGATACAATATATGATTCAGATACTCTGTTTCCGAAAGCCAATTTTAGTAGAGCAGTCTGCCAGTAATCCCACTCCAGTGCATAACAATTTTAGACTGAAAATGCTAAGCAGAGGAGAATAATAGTGCACTCACAGTTGCTGTAGGTACCTCCTGATCCTACATAAAAGAGACATTATGCTAATAATTTCCATCTGACTTTGAAAATTGCATGATTCCATCCAACAACCCAGAGGAGTGAATTTTTCTAACCAGCCCCTATGATTTTTCCAGCAGACCCAGAACCTGTTTGGGTTTGGCATTTTAGCAGTTTAACTCTTAGCTTATCCCCTGGCATCCACCGTCAGACATCCCATTAACAACTCATTAGACAAAATTTCTAAGATGTAACAAAATAATCACTCCAAAGAGTACACATACTCATAAAATAATAAATGGCTTCCCTGAGATAGTTTACAAACAAAACAAGAAAGTAAAATAATATCTGCCTCCCTCCCCCCCCAAAAAAACCATGAAAGTCAACCTTACTAATGAAATAGATCTCTCATAATCAGAGATTTATGTAATACCAAGTGTCTATTCTTAGGAAATAAAAACAAATACGGCTGCGATGAAATAAGGGCAGAAAGGTGAAATTCCATAGCAATAATAATGATGATGATGATGATGGTGATGATGATGATGATAATGATGATGTTAGAGTAATAATTCACATAAGCATTAGAAGCAAAATAACCTATTTTTATTCTAAGACATTCTTGCATTTCAGCATCTCTGAAATGTGGATCTTCTTGAATAATGGTCTCTTTCAAATACTTTCAGTCACACCACAATGGTAATGATGATGCCCCTTTTAAGATATGAGAGAGATGGTATCATTTCTGCATGTAATTTCCTGGCTTTGGATCTCAGTAAAAATCCAAGAACCTCACCACAGACTACATGCCTCAGTAAGATCTGGTCACCCATTCCTTATGTGATTTCATCTCCTAGAACCTTCCCTTTTTTGTTCACTCCACTATATGCTACAGCCGTGCTAGTCTCCATGTTCTTCTTGGACCATCAGGGCATGCTTCCACCTCCAGTCTGTTACCCTTGTTTCTTCTGCCAGGAACAAGTTTTCTACTGAGAACCCCCATGGTTTACTCTCTTGTGGACTGAAGATATTTATTCAAAAGACACTTTCTTATTTAGGCTTTCCTCTGTCATCTCATGTGAAATTGCATCATCATATGTTCCCTATCTACCTTTCTGCTTCATTTTTCTTTTTAGCATTAATTTTCAGTTGATAGTCCCTATTTCATTTATCTTGCTTTTGGTTTGTCTCTCTCCATTTGAGTAAAAGCAGAGATTTTGTCTATTGTCTTCACTACTGAATTCTCCTAGAAGAATGCCTGGTGCAGAGAAGGCAATTAAATATATGCTGAATATATGAATAAATATATATGTATAAATATATGTATTAATATGTAAATACACAAAATATAAGCCAATAAATTGCTGGATTACATGCTCTAAGGTTGGCAGGTGAAGTGGTGAGGGGGTGTAAATATCATGCTAAGCCTGTGTAATGATGCACAGACTAGGTGTTAGGTGTCTTCAGACATAAACCTGCTTCTAGTACTAGCTTGGTGAAATTTGTCAAGTTGATCCCCTGGGCCTCCAGGTTAGAGTGCATAATCTGAATGGACGTTGTAACAGGTGAGTTAATTGATCTTTCTAGTAAAAAACGATTGAAAAATGAAGCCCAGGAATAGGAAGCTGGTTAATGAAACCATGCCTTTTAACATAAATATTATCACCATAAACAATAGTGGTAGTGAGAGTTAGTACAAAAGAATTTTAAGATAACTTGTAGTTCAATTTCCTCTGTTTTATAAATAGTGAAACCTAAGCCCAAGGTTTGACAGACTTAGGCCAAGGTCAAATGTTAATTGATGGTTGATCTTCGAACTCCAGTTAGCATCTCTGGCTGAGCCCAGTCTTCTTTTTACTATAACTGGTTATTACACATCGTAAGTGCTGGTGACTTTCCAAAGAATTATTCTTAAGATGTTTTGATATAATGTTCAGCTTAGACTTGATGAATTCATTTAGTAACAGGAATACATAGATCAATTTATCTCTCTTTGTGATCTAATTCAGCTTACAGAAGAGATTGGAAAACTTGAAGATAAAGTTGAATGCGCTAATAATGCCCTGAAAGCAGACTGGGAAAGATGGAGACATAATATGCAAAATGATATCAAGTCAGCATTTACAGATATGGCTGAGGAGAATATCCAGTATTATGAACAGGTAATTAGTGCTATGTGATATTGCTTCATTTTATGAAAGTTGTCCTCTCTTTTACTTTCTATCTGTCCTTTGTTGAAAGAGTCTGTTAAGGAACCAAGTGTCACATTCAAAAGCCTCCTTGGTGGCTCAGTGCCAGTGGAGTTGCTAGTTAATCGAGTAATGCCGAACCCACCCACTGAAACAAATATGTTTATGTGGAGGAAGGATGAAGAGTCTTCCTTCTTATACAGTATGCCCCAGGTGCCTAATTTGAGCCTTGATTGTGGGAAAGAATTATGCTACCATTTTGTTTTGTTTGTTTTCCCCACAGTTTCTTGTTTTAGAAGGATTTGAATTTTTTAAAAGCACTTGGGCAATGCTTGCTACTGATTCTCCCATCTTATTCCCCTCATCCTCTCCTTTTCTTATGTTATAAAGTATTTGCAACATGAGAAAAGGACCAGAGGTTTCAATGAGCAGAAAATCAAATCAGGTCCTGTGCCTTGTTTCCCTTCCATTTCCACTTTGCCTTCTATAGCTGTTCAAAACCTCAACAAAAGAGCATGCTATTCTCTCTTTTTATTTCAGTTTAGTTTAGTTCAGCTTTTTTTCTTTTTTTCCTTTATTTCAAGATAGAACCTAGTCATCCTTTTGATTTCAGATGATTGTTTTTCATCTTTTTTTTTTTTTTTTTTTACAACTAACAGTTCCCCAAGGTGGTCATCATTTTAAATGAATTTTATACTATCCTTTTTTTTTTTAATCGAGCATATTCTAAACATACTGTTTCTAGCAGGTGCATTTTCAACATACATCTCTAACCTTATCTCTGACTAAATTAATGACTATATGAAATTGATACCTTTATGCTTTATAGTCTATAGTGCATGCCAGACTGTAAAATATTGTATATTTTTGAAAAGATTAACTATTTTCATTTAATAAGCATTTCTTAAGCCTCTACTTCCATCAGACACTGTGCTGGGCCCTGGAGAGACCATAGCATGCAACACAAATACAGTGCCTTTTTACGTAGGCACGGTCACCAAGGGAAACAGTCAATTAATACAAAATATTATAATAAAGTATAATATGTTCTAGCGTAGAAAGACATTACAAGGGCATCTAACCTAATCTAGAAGGAATGAGGAAGGTTCTGCAGAGGATGTGGTTAAGATAAAACCTGAATGATGAATAAGAAGTAGGTAGATAAAGATGTGAGAAAGAGTTCCAGTTAGAGAAAATACATGCAGAAAATCCCTAGAAGTGAGAGAATATGTTCAAATAACTGAGGCTCTTTTTTGGAGGTTGGAGAAGCAGGGGTAGTGTTGAGTTGAAAAATGAGGTTTGTAGGGGAGGAAAAAGTTTTCCTGAACCCTCTGACAGTCCCTAGCTGGGTCTGAAATTAAAATGATAGAGATAAATTGACAGGAAAAAAAGCATACAGATTGATGTAATGTAAGTTGTTTGTGACACAGAAGCCTTCCTAAGGACATAGGGAGTAAGAAGCAGATGTGAATATTTTTTGCTAGGTTTGATGACAGGTGGGCAGTCATGTAGAAATATGGTAGATTAAGGAGTATGAGGTATATATAATAAACTGCAGAAACATGACAAGACCTGTGTGTTAGGTGTCTTCTCTGTGTTCCTTTCCTTTGATAAGTACCTTCCTTTCCCCCAGATATGAGGAGAACAACTCTCATATGAGGGTTTTACCACCTGCACCAGGGGCTGTGGGTTATGGAAGATCAAAGTGACCTTCCTGCCTCTCCCATAGTCTCAGACTCCTTCAGCTTAAAATATTCAATATGCCTAGATGCCTTATTTTGCTGTTCATCCTGAACCACACTGGGCTGAAGAGGGCATCGTAATATAAGTCTTTATTTTTCATTCTAAGCGAAATAGGAAAAGCCGTTGAGTTTTCATCAGGGACGTGACAATATTTATCAGATTTGCCTTTTAGAAAGGTCACTCTGGCTTATATGGCTCAGAGTGAAACAAAACTGGACATGAGGAGACCTAATAGGGAACATTGTGGTACCAGACAGAGATGTGAACTGACATAGGGATTTCATGGTGGTGGCCTAGAGACTCAAGTGATTGAAAAGATCATTTTCTGTCCTTAATTTTTTTTATTCTGCATTAACAACCTTAAGTAAATTCAAGTATCTCAAAGGAATTTCCCATAAGTCTCAGATTTTGAAATGATTTGAACTATTTTGTTGAGGGGCACCTAGGTGGCTCAGTTGGTTAAGCATCGACTCTTGATTGCAGTTCAGGTCATAATCTTACAGTTCGTGAGATCGAACCCCACGTTGGGCTCTGTACTAGCTGTGCAGAGCCTCTTGGGATTCTCTCTCTCCCTCTCTCTGCTCATCTCCCCCTTGTGTGCGCAGTCTCTCCCGCTCTCTCAAAATAAATAAATAAACTTAAAAAAATGAAAGTAGAAAATGAAAATAAATAAAATATTTTGTTGAATGACATCACTATGGTGATATTTATCACTATGGCTTAATTAATTAATTAATTATTAATTTATTTATCACTATGGCTTTCTTACCACTTAACTATTTCAATCCACAAAAAGACTTTCTCTCTCCTTTACATTACAACCTGTCCATTCTGATGTTACAGAATTGTTATGACAGTCAACCAAAATAATTTATGGACAATGCCTCAAATACTAAAATATGCAATATACTATAAGTAATTATAGTTCTAAAACATAAGTATATTAGGGTGTAAGTATCACATGACACTGTTTATATTTTCACATGCACTGATTATATTTTCCTTTAAATGATAGGCTCTGCAAACTTTTTTTCTAAGTTTGAACTTCATTTTTTAAGGGAAAATCTTCATGGCAATTCCACTGAACTCCCAACTGAAATGTTTGGGTTTGACTCTACCTGTCACATAAATTCACATTTTTGTCAGTCTCATAGACTGATTTCAAATTACATAAAATATTGCTTTCTTAGAAACAGTTAAATTAGCATTACTGTGTCATTTTGCCAGTTTTGTTCTTCACAGCAGTTTTAATATCAGTATGTTTTTAACTCTTCCTCCAAGTGAATTATATTTATAAATGTTACTAAAAATGTGTCAAGTGTACTGCATCTTAGATGTATATCTTTGAAGGAATCATTGGTTTTCTTTAAATTCAAAAAACCCCTGTGGTTTCAATTATTTGTTGTTGTTATTGTTTTTTTTTCCTGAGTGAATAACTTTTAACTGATTTGCTATATCAGTCCAAGCATAATTAGGAAGTTGGAGCCCTTAAATAATCAAGGCTTTCTAATTAGCATGCAGACTGTGTGGCCTGAAACAGTAACAGTCTGCTGTTATCTGTTAACTTCAGAATCTCTTAGATATACAGAGAAGTGAAATGTTCCAGAATCTTTCCATTTCCTTTTTAATTTAATCACATTCTTCCAGAAATACCTCTTTTTTCATCAACGTTTGCAAATATAAATTCCATAAGGGTTTGTTCCTAGTATGATAGATGAATTGGGGTATAAACATTTGCCTTTGGACTTGTTTTATGAAGTGAAATGGTCACAGCTTATTTATAACTTAAAATTTAAATATCAAAGTGACAGGAAAATCAGATTATAAATATGAAGCATGGGTCTGTATCAGAAGATAGCTATTGTCACATTGAAATGTAGTACTTAGATGTGTGAATTTATTTGGAGACAGCACCAAATATATAACAGGCACTTCCACGTAAACTCAAGTAAGTAAAATAAAGTTATTTCCATTTTGTCCTATAAGGCCAATAATTAAGAATAAATATGAGTTATTTTTTTAAAATTTTCTTTTAATGTTTATTTATTTTTGAGACAGAGAGAGACAGAGCATGAACGGGGGAGGGTCAGAGAGAGGGAGACACAGAATCTGAAACAGGCTCCAGGCTCTGAGCTGTCAGCACAGAGCCCGACGCAGGGCTCGAACTCACGGACCGTGAGATCATGACCTGAGCCGAAGTCGGCCGCTTAACCGACTGAGCCGCCCAGGCGCCCCGTGAGTTATTTTAAAAGACAAGAATTAATAAGACACTACAGCAAAAAATCCAACTGAACAATGGTGAATAATTTCAAAGCATACTGGTACCCAAATAACCAAAGCAAATTATTTCCTGATAAAATGTGAGGGGATGCTAAAACCATAAAACATGACATGCAGCATTAAGCGCATGGACATTTTCTCATTACTCTCTATTAGGTACAAAAGAGTGTCTGTTTATATGGTTGTTTATGCTGATGGTAATGATGATTATGACGATGGTGGGGATTTGAAAGGAAGTGATGCTTGGTAGGTATTACAAACTAAAAGAATACACTCTTTGAAAGTTTAATTTTAATACAATGAAAAGATCATATGTTAACTTTTGCCACAAAAAGCAGTTTAATATTGTAAAGTAAAGTGTGCAAAGGAATAAACTATATGACTTTAAGTATTACATTCACTTAAGTATTATATTCACTTAATTATTAATGTGTGGAAGTCCTTGTTGCATAGCCTTATTTCTGTCGTTATAAAATTAATATACATGCACACTAAAAGCAAACAAAAACAACAAAAGCTAGGTACATTAACATAAAATAAAGAATGCCTGTAACCTTTTCTCCTGGAGAGAGTGGTATACTTAAATACAATTATAGAAAAATAATTTGCTATGTTCAGATCAAAATATTTTAAAATTTCTACATGACCCTTTCTGAATGTGTCAGCATAAAAACATGATTACTTATCTATTTTGTGTCATGATGATTACAGTGGATATATGTTATTTTGAGCTCCATATTTCTCATTTGTTTACTTTCCTATGTAATAATAAACTTAATATAATACATTGTGTTAGTTTACTTCTATTAGCAAAGGTAACAATGAACAGTTGAGGCTTTATGCTATTTTTTTGCTCTCACAAATAATACTATTAAAAATAATTATGAACATTAGACTTTAAAAAATTCCTGGATAAGAATTTTAAGAAATTACTGGATCAGAGGTCAGTT